CAAATAAAAGGCCCCACCCTCACACTGGTCCTTCAAAATGCAGAATCACAGTTACACTATAAGCTCACATTATGATCCCAAAAACATGCATTAATTTTTAAATGAATACCTTTAAACTTGAAATGTCTATTATGCCCCAAAACTTGTTTTATTTTTAGTGTTCAAAAGCGGTTTATTTTTGGTGTCCTATTACAGTTTCCAGAAATATACTCATTGGTCTCTTACTGTTACTATTTTTGCTTCTGTTGCTTTTTGAGACTTGGTACATTTAAAGCGATTTAGAATTTTTTATGGAAGTCACATTACTACTTTGTTTCTATGACAAGCTATTTCACATTCAATCGTACTTCCTTCCAGTGATAAGCATCTAACACGCTCTTAACCCATTACTTCATATACACGCCTTTTAACGCCTTTATCACCCCCCCCCCTTTTTGTTGTCTCAAATGATGAAAAAATGCCTTATTTAGGCCCCAAACACTTGTTTTTGTTTGAGAAATGTTGTGAAAAAAAGTGACCTCTTTTTCGGCGCGGTCCCCCAACCAAAAGATACATCAGGGGGTTGCCAGAAGGGGGATGTGCCCCCTTCTGTTTGGGGGGTTTGAAGGGGGGCGGAGTCCCCCTCATCGCCAAGAAAATTTTGGACTTGTGAGAGGCTGTAAATGACCCCAGATTGATCATAAGGTAACGTGTAACCAACGCTGAAAAGCGTTTGACTCTATCTCAATCCATTGAAAAGTTACAGCACTTTGGAATCAATTTTGATGGAAAAAATCAACGCAAAATAGTGATTTTTGGCAATTTTGAGATGTCCCCTCGTTGCCATGGTAACAGAAAATTTAAGCCTGAGCATGTTGTTGCAAGGGCAATGGTCCAGTCAACATTTGTGCCAAGTTTGATTAGTGTTGAAGCAGTTTTTATAGTATTATAGCAATTTGAACTTGTAACGGGAGACTTTTCAATGAAAACAGCCATTTTTCACAAAATGCTCATGAAGTAATGGGTTAATGAAAAAAATAAAAAAATCTACAAAACAACAATTTTTCTTCAAATTTATATAACAGGCCTTGTTCAAACATGAAAAAACGCGATTTAGGGTAATTTCAAGTATTTTCATCATTTTCTGTTAACCCATTACTTCATATACACGCCTTTTAACGCCTTTATCACCCCCCCCCCTTTTTGTTGTCTCAAATGATGAAAAAATGCCTTATTTAGGCCCCAAACACTTGTTTTTGTTTGAGAAATGTTGTTAAAAAAAGTGACCTCTTTTTCGGCGCGGCCCCCTAACCAAAAGATACATCAGGGGGTTGCCAGAAGGGGGATGTGCCCCCTTCTGTTTGGGGGGTTTGAAGGGGGGCGGAGTCCCCCTCATCGCCAAGAAAATTTTGGACTTGTGAGAGGCTGTAAATGACCCCAGATTGATCATAAGGTAACGTGTAACCAACGCTGAAAAGCATTTGACTCTATCTCAATCCATTGAAAAGTTACAGCACTTTGAAATCAATTTTGATGGAAAAAATCAACGCAAAATAGTGATTTTTGGCAATTTTGAGATGTCCCCTCGTTGCCATGGTAACAGAAAATTTAAGCCTGAGCATGTTGTTGCAAGGGCAATGGTCCAGTCAACATTTGTGCCAAGTTTGATTAGTGTTGAAGCAGTTTTTATAGTATTATAGCAATTTGAACTTGTAACGGGAGACTTTTCAATGAAAACAGCCATTTTTCACAAAATGCTCATGAAGTAATGGGTTAATGAAAAAAATCAAAAAATCTACAAAACAACAATTTTTCTTCAAATTTATATAACAGGCCTTGTTCAAACATGAAAAAACGCGATTTAGGGTAATTTCAAGTATTTTCATCATTTTCTGTTAACCCATTACTTCATATACACGCCTTTTAACGCCTTTATCACCCCCCCTTTTTGTTGTCTCTAATGATGAAAAAATGCCTTATTTAGGCCCCAAACACTTGTTTTTGTTTGAGAAATGTTGTTAAAAAAAGTGACCTCTTTTTCGGCGCGGCCCCCTAACCAAAAGATACATCAGGGGGTTGCCAGAAGGGGGATGTGCGCCCTTCTGTTTGGGGGGTTTGAAGGGGGGCGGAGTCCCCCTCATCGCCAAGAAAATTTTGAACTTGTGAGAGGCTGTAAATGACCCAAGATTGATCATAAGGTAACGTGTAACCAACGCTGAAAAGCATTTGACTCTATCTCAATCCATTGAAAAGTTACAGCACTTTGAAATCAATTTTGATGGAAAAAATCAACGCAAAATAGTGTTTTTTGGCAATTTTGAGATGTCCCCTCATTGCCATGGTAACAGAAAATTTAAGCCTGAGCATGTTGTTGCAAGGGCAATGGTCCAGTCAACATTTGTGCCAAGTTTGATTAGTGTTGAAGCAGTTTTTATAGTATTATAGCAATTTGAACTTGTAACGGGAGACTTTTCAATGAAAACAGCCATTTTTCACAAAATGCTCATGAAGTAATGGGTTAATGAAAAAGATAAAAAAATCTACAAAACAACAATTTTTCTTCAAATTTATATAACAGGCGTTGTTCAAACATGAAAAAACGCGATTTAGGGTAATTTCAAGTATTTTCATCATTTTCTGTTAACCCATTACTTCATATACACGCCTTTTAACGCCTTTATCACCCCCCCCCCCCTTTTGTTGTCTCAAATGATGAAAAAAATGCCTTATTTAGGCCCCAAACACTTGTTTTTGTTTGAGAAATGTTGTGAAAAAAGTGACCTCTTTTTCGGCGCGGTCCCCCAACCAAAAGATACATCAGGGGGTTGCCAGAAGGGGGATGTGCCCCCTTCTGTTTGGGGGGTTTGAAGGGGGGCGGAGTCCCCCTCATCGCCAAGAAAATTTTGGACTTGTGAGAGGCTGTAAATGACCCCAGATTGATCATAAGGTAACGTGTAACCAACGCTGAAAAGCGTTTGACTCTATCTCAATCCATTGAAAAGTTACAGCACTTTGGAATCAATTTTGATGGAAAAAATCAACGCAAAATAGTGATTTTTGGCAATTTTGAGATGTCCCCTCGTTGCCATGGTAACAGAAAATTTAAGCCTGAGCATGTTGTTGCAAGGGCAATGGTCCAGGCAACATTTGTGCCAAGTTTGATTAGTGTTGAAGCAGTTTTTATAGTATTATAGCAATTTGAACTTGTAACGGGAGACTTTTCAATGAAAACAGCCATTTTTCACAAAATGCTCATGAAGTAATGGGTTAAGCTATTATTTAAACGTTATAAAACTCATATTTGCCCTTTCTAAAAACATTATTTGCTTCTAAGACATAATGTGGCTAACACCAAAGTGTTCAACCAACCCCTGGGTTGAGTTAAAGAGCTCTTCTATGCTTTGTAATAGTTATGACGTGGCAATTTTGACATTACACAGAAATACAATAATTGAAGTATCACAAATAACAGTAATTTACCATTCTTTTTTTATATATAGGTGTTGATGAATATTTCAATACTGTATTTTCCAGTGATGTAGTAACTGGCCTAAATAAAACTTCCAAATGATGATTATGGCAAACTCCCGCATTAACTACAGTTGTTTAGGCAGTAGCGGATTTTAGGGTATAGCGGATAACATGGCAGTACATGTACATGTAACAATGCTCCTTTCCATCAAATATGCCTTTTTCAAAATAATACAATTATACCATCAAAAAGAGTGATATATTTGCCATCCGTGGCTAATTTTGTTTTATTTATTTCAAATTGCACAGCGAGTTTTTCTTACATAAATCAGAATGAGGTAACCGGATGTTGTCACCGTCAGACTGTTTATAAGCGCTTCCAAAAGAAATAAACAGAAAACTATTGATCAACACCAAGTAAAGTAATGAAATATTGACATGATTTGGTGTAAAAATCATTTGTTTATAATTTTGCAAAAGCTTTTACAAATATAATGCCTACTGACACTAAAAATTATTGAAAATGAATAGCAAGTGCTTCTGTCAGTAACGGATTTTACATTTGGGGGTGGTCTCAAAATTTATTTTATGTGTCAAAATGCCGTCAAAAGTGGATTAAAAATAGACTTTAACAAAAAAAAATATCCCAGTTTTAATGGTATAATATTATTTATTCTATCTTTTTATAATTTAAACTCAGTTGTATTGTTACTTTGAATATACCATCATTATTAACTCTTCTTTCAACTAGATTATAAGATTAATAATGGCTTTAATGTAAAACAGACCACTTTTTCATTGAAATTTGTTGTTTCATTTTTCATACTAAATACACATGCTCAGAATAAGTTTATTGCAAAATTTTTGTAATTTATGTATTCAGAATATATAGTTTACTTTTTTATTCATCTATACAGATCTTAGGAAATATTGTTTTTATTTGTTAATTTGCAACATATTATACAGTTATCATTGCTTGTATACTGTGATGTTACAAAATAAATAAATAATTTTTAAATAAATAAAGCTTTTAACTATTGTTGATATAATTATAGATTTTTTTAAAGAAATAATATGGTAAACTATAGCTATGTTCAAACTATTACATGTCACAGTTGCATCATAAGTTGTTGACCAGATATTTATTTATATATTTATTTACTTGTAGAAAAATTTGAAAGATTACTATCAAATGTAACATTTTTCATGTCAGTAACCCCAAAACATGTTTCTGTGACATATACTTTGTAAATACTAAATTTAGAACGTTTCGAGACTCGCCCTCATTGACCTTCACCTACCTATCCCATACTCCCCAAAGCTATCCGCTACTACCTGAACTATATGCCGAACATAAACAAAGAGTACTACATGTAATGTCAAAGATACTGCTAAAAATATTTTATTTTAAAAAGGGAAGTAGTTTGACTACTGAATGGCATCAATTCGATTTTCTGAATATTGTTATTAAAGACATAAGCAGCGCCGATCTCCTTAGCTATCCGCTACTGCCTATACAACTGTAATGGACAGTAACAAAATTCACAAAATGACATTTTTTTCTCAATTTTTATTGTTCTTATATCTACATGTATGCAGAACTTTTTATTTCCCTAACATATGAATTTTTACGAACCACCATCAAGTAAAACACATTGCTCTAAACAAAATGATGGAAATGTTTACAAATAAAGGGGAAGCAAATCTGTACATTTCCATAGTTGTATTGCATTCCCTTGGCATATTTACACATGGTTTATAAATATATCCAAATACAATCAACATTTTTTTATTTCATATTTCTGAAAAAGTAGCAATTAAACGTTTTGGAGACAGTCTTACACTGTTGTAATAGTAAACGCTGTATAATTTGTCAATAGTATATTGCTCTTCTTTTCAACCTTTAGACATGCTAACACACATTCAATAAATTTGGTATTTATCAAGAAATTGATACATTATCTAAAACTTGTGCAATACTTGGTGGTATTCATTCAAATTAAAGGACAATAATAATGTATATAATATACTTAACAATAACTACTTCATGACATCGAAACAACTTGATCATTATATATCCAAGCATTCTTTGTAGATTGCATAGTAAATATAAACACCAAATTGAAGCAGTTTCCATCTAGACATGGGAACTTTTCAACCCTCAGTTTATTCAGACCCATATTGATTAACATATTGAAATCATATCTACTTCTTGTTCTCCACTTAATCTTTACATCAACTTTGACATGAATAAGACATACTATTCAGCCAGTTATAAAATTTGTATAGTATTTACTGCTTTTAAGTAAAGATAAAAAGATACCGAAGTTTAAATATTAAAAACACTTCAAATGTTTATGAATATGGATCAAGAACTACTTTACTAATAAATACAATCTACAAAAATGAACAACAATTATCTACATATTTATATTAGTATGGATTGTTATTGCATCTTGCTACAGCTATATATGATGCTATAACATGATTATAGTTTGGGGACTTTTTTTGTTAGGTTTACTACACTTACATACATGATCTACTCTATTTAATTATATGTTTTGTATTATACTATTAATAGTATACATTTCATTTTTATATATAATAATCTGCATAGGAACGGCAGATCTACAGGACCAAAAAAGTTCTGAATTAACAAAAAGAGTACTTAATGTTAAATTGTATTCATACAATCAACTGGGACTGGAAAAAATCCTGATTTGAAACTTACAAAAGACTTACATTTGCAAAAATTGTATTGTACATATCTATCATCCTTGGATACCCACGGCTGAACCATTAACATTCAGCCCCTGGATTTTTTACATACATGTTAATCAACTGTGGGTATCCAATGATGATATATATTTACAAGACAATGTTTTATATACAAGTCTCAAATAAAATGATTTTTCTGTTTGGTCGAAATCTTACATTTTAGTGCATTTTCTTTTTTAATTCTACATTAAATGGGAACACGTGCATTGAAAACTACTTGATATGGCAACTAATATGACTATCAACATGAAATTCATGGAAAAATAGATGATTTTGCCTATGAATAATAGAAAGATGATTTTCCTAATAATAACAGAATTAAGTATTTCATACTAAATTTATATATCATAAACATATATTTACAGATGCCACCTATGTACTTAAAATAATGTGAAACTAATTGCACATTCATTGAGTAAAACAACATGTAAACTTTCATAAATAGGTAGTAAAATGTAAGTTGTCTGGTTTTATTTATAGTCGGATAATAGTCCGACAAATACAAATTTTACATGAAAACTGTACAAAAATAAAACAATCAATTTGAATAATATGTATCAGAAAATTCAATTGAATAATATATATCTTAAATCTTCTTTGATCATCAATTATTATTTGATATACCATCTTCAACAGTCTTTTAGTTTCAGGTTGATGTACATTTCTGTTTATTACATATTTTGCAGTCAATATCAAAAGATGATAAAACCATACTGGCCAAATTTAATGTCATCTTTGAAATAAAATAATCAAACTCAGGAAAGGAAAAATTATAATGAACATTTAGAAAATGAATAAACAACTCAGTTGTAATTATGTAAGTATGATAAAAAAAAATGGTTAAGTGAATATTAAATTTTGACTGCATTCTACTTCCAAATATATTGAATCACAGTTCACTCTTAAAAATACTGGTCCACTTCAAATTGTCATGGAAACAGAAATATATATTTCAGAATGAATATACATAATAGAACACTAACACAGTAGATTGGTTACAGGTTACAACAATGAATCTTTCCTCTATATAATATTGTGCACTACTAAAATACATAATGTGCAAATTGCATAATTTTTATTCTCAATGCTGCTATTCAAGCTAATATTCAATCCCAAAATACCAAGAAATTATCAAATTTTATTATGCATAAAATAACTGTTCAGTTTTGTTTGGTATTATGCTAGTTTACCCACAAATGTTAAAACCTGATGTTTAACTACAAATAAAGAGTTCAAATTAGGCATCGGCAGGTCTTAGTTGGAAAAGTTTGTCTACAACAGTCTCATCAGCCATTGTAGACACATCACCTATATCCTTGTCTCCTACAGCTATCTTCCGTAATACACGTCTCATAATCTTTCCTGATCGTGTTTTAGGAAGTCCTGGTGCCTCCTGAATGAAGTCAGGTGAAGCAAATGGTCCTATTTTTGTTCTCACTGTAAATAAATTAGAATTCTTATAGGTTTTATTTTGAGATAAGAAGAACAACATGACTAGGTCGCAAAACTATTTCAGACTTTTTTTAAGATTTTATCTTATCATACTTCATTAACAGCAAAACATTAGATACAAAGCCCCAAAGAATGTATGGAAACATCATTTGTTACAAGCTTTTTGGGTTTTCTTTTGTTATTTTATTTTTTAGGCATTCTGATAAAAAAAAAACAACACCTTTCTAGACTTATATTCACAATTAAATTATAATATCATAAGAACTTGCCAAATATCTGACAAAATAAATGAAACAGATTTTATCAATAGAAACTTAAATGATTTTATTTTATTCAAAACACTTATCTGATGTAAGAACCTTTAGATGCATATGTTTATATGTTTCAAGCGTTAAAAGTCTTTTTCATGTCATACATTAGTAACAGAGAATATAAGTAAAAATCTCACCTTGAGCTCGTAGTTCATGTAAGAGGTCTGCAGTGAATGTAAAACCCTGTAATAATAGCAAGTATAATCTATATTAATTATAAAAACGGTACTTTCCAACAAAATAATCTAATTATGACCATATTTCCAAATTTTAAAATGCTACCTTATCATTTGAACAACTAAACATTCATTTTCACTTATACCATTATTATATCATTCTTACAGTGATCTGACTTTAGGTTCAAATCTTATCTTGCTGCATAAATATTTTATTTCAAGCATTGACCTTTAACCTGCTTTCTTTAACATATAATTCCTTCACTACATAAAAATGTCATACACCGCCTTCAAAATGGACAGTCTAACATTGAGACATTTAGCAGCACAATTAGGTTGGTAATGGTACATTTCTTACATTTCTTGAGCCATGTGTGCAATATACATTAAATAGAGGATATTTGTTTGTTTCAGTGTAAGATCGAAAAATATTTCACCGAGTGAACACCAGATGCAATATTTTCCACGAGTGGCGTAGCCACGAGTGAAAATATAATAGCTGGGGTTCACGAGTGAAATATTAATTGATCTTACATGTAAAACAAACAAATTTTCTGTTTATTTCATGATTTTTTAACGATTTTTACACCATTTTACTGATTTTTGCCACGTAACGTCATGCTCTTATCTTCATGACGTCATCAAATAATGACGTCACAATGTTGAAGCAAAATATAATTCCATGATTATTTTTAGATTTTAGATGTTTTTCAGCACAACGTTCGTAAATATTTACGAACTACAGTTATCACGTACATTTTTTAATATGATTGACTACATTTCCGCTGAAAAAAACATTCATTAATGATAAATATTTTATTTTTACGCCAAATATAGTTCGGCTACTGTGAAATTATATTTGGTAATCATTACTGTGAAATTATCAGAATATAATTAACCGTTATAATTCAGTAATCTACTGCAAAACATGTAATAAATTGATTTAAGTAGATAAATGATTATATATCACTATGTGTATATACCTGTTTAAGTGTAACAAAGCAGTATGTACATTCTCCTTTAATTCTATGAGGATGCGAGACAACAGCAGCCTCTGTTACTGCTTTATGTTCAACTAAAGCTGATTCTATCTCTGCTGTACTAAGTAAATGAGCTGATACATTTACCATATCATCTATACGACCTGTCACCCATATATAACCATCTTTGTCACGTCGACCACCTATATGTTAATACACGAATTAATGTATTATATTATCAAACTAAGAGCATAAGTGACAGATAGCATGGTCATATATTGTTATCAAAAACATTCCAGTTTAAGCATACTCATTTTATGAAAACTTTTTGGAACTTTACTTATATACCATTAATCAAATATCATTGTAAACAATCTATAGCTTTTAGAAAGGAAGATCAAAAGATAACAGCATGTCAAAATGACCAAAAAAAACCACAACATTATCTGATTCACAAAAGTTGAGATACCAATCTTTACATTTATAAAACATGATGGAAAAATATATAACATAAAATAAAAAAAATTCAATAGGTCATATATCGAACTTGCCAATATTTCAGAAGCATCAATTCTGCTTTATAAAGCAAACATAAATAATAAGATTTAATATAATTCATTGGACATTAACATAAAATAAGATCTCACCATCTCCAGTTGTATAGTAGCCTGGAAATTTCTTGAAGTAGGTGGTCTCAAATCTTTGTTGATTTCCATAAACTGTTCTCATTATACCTGGCCATGGTTGTTTAAACACCTACACATATAAAATATATAACATTTAATCAGGATGTGCTATTAAAATATTATATAATAGCCTTGATGGTACTTGCATGTAAAATTTCATATAACAAGAGGGCCATGATGGCCCTGAGGTCGCTCACCTGTATATAGGCCCCCGGAGCGGGGCCAGTTTAAACCCCAGGGCTTTTATTTGAACAAACTTGGAAGACACCCATTAGAAGATGTTTCATGATGTTAAGTTTTTACTACACACATATAATGAAAAATAATGACCTCCCCCCCCCCTTTGGCAGGGCCAATTTTAACCCAAGGGCTTTTATTTGAACAAACTTGGTAAACACCAACAAAAAGATGTTTCCTGCTTAAAATCTAACCTCTAGCTCATTGGGTTTTTTAAAAGAAGATTTTTTAAGTTTTTACTATACACATATAGTTAAAAACAATGACACCTCTGGGGTGGGGCCAGTTTTAACCCCAGGGCTTTTATTTGAACAAACTTTGTAGACACTTACTAGAAGATGTTTCATGCTTAATATCTAAACTAGCTATTTGGGTTTTTTCAAAGAAGATTTTTAAGTTTTTGCCATACACATATAAGGAAAATCAATGACCCCCGGGGCGGGGCCAATTTTGACCCCAGGGCTTTTATTTCAACAAACTTGGTAGACGTTCACTAGAAGATGTTTCATGCCAAATATCTTAGCTCTAGCTCTTACGGTTCTTTAAAAGAAGATTTTTTAAGTTTTTACTATATGCATATAGGGAAAATCAATGACCCCCTGGGGCGGGGCCAATTTTGACCCCAGGGCTTTTATTTCAACAAACTTGGTAGACGTTCACTAGAAGATGTTTCATGCCAAATATCTTAGCTCTAGCTCTTACGGTTCTTTAAAAGAAGACTTTTTAAGTTTTTACTATATGCATATAGGGAAAATCAATGACCCCCCTGGGGCGGGACCAATTTTGACCCCAGGGCTTTTATTTCAACAAACTTGGTAGACACTCACTAGAAGATGTTTCATGCCAAATATCTTAGCTCTAGCTCTTTGGGTTCTTTAAAAGAAGATTTTTAAGTTTTTACTATATGCATATAGGGAAAATCAATGACCCCCTGGGGCGGGGCCAATTTAGACCCCAGGGCTTTTATTTGAACAAACTTGGTAGACACTCACTAGAAGATGTTTCATGCCAAATATCTAAGCTCTAGCTCTTAGGGTTGTTTAAAAGAAGATATTTAAAGATTTTTCTTTCGGTTGCCATGGCAACCAGAGTTCAGCATGGAATTAAATTCTTTGAACAATTTTTAAAGGTGACCACCAAAGGAACATTCCTGTGAAGTTTGGATGAAATTGGCTCAGTGGTTTATGAGGAGATGTCATTTAAAGCAAAAGTTAAGGGACGGACGACGGACGGACGGACGCCGGACGAAAAGCGATCACAAAAGCTCACCCTGTCACTTTGTGACAGGTGAGCTAAAAAACAAAAGATAAAAAATAGGTTTCATTTAAGTTACATTTAATATTAATCAAGGTAAAAAATGACAGTGAACTTACAATATATCCCTCTCCATCTCCCTGCACTTCTGTACCGTCCTCATTTAGTATTACAGGTACAACACCAAAGAATGGGAATGTCTGAAATCATATATGCTTATAAACATATAGTTATCATAAAATTAGACAGTTGATAATGAACAAAAAAAACTTTGCACTATCTATGCATTGCTATTCAAAAATAACAATGTTATAAATATGACATTATATAAATTAGATATGTTTTTTATTGTAAACATAACTTTTAATATAATTAATACTCATTTTCTTCCTGAAACAGACTCTTTATTTTGAAGAAGATTACATGGAGTCAATAGATTCCTTTAGAAAACAACACACATCATATAGTTTACTCACAGCAGATCCTGGTTTTGTGGGTGTGGCTCCAGGTAGAGGTGATATAACATGTCCTCCCTATAATAATATATGTAATTATATAATAACACATTGACAGAATCATCAATGCAAGAGCATTTTTACTCAGATTACAATTAATTACAAATAATCCATTCAAGAATTAGTATTCTAGAAATTAATTTACAGTACATTAACACACCAAATAAATGTATATATCATAAGCTTCTAGTGAATACCATCAGCAGTTAATGAAACTCAAATCTGCATGCAAAATCTTTAACAAATTATAATGCTAAGATTGATGCCTGGGCAAGAAGGACAGCCTATTTTTTCTTTTAATTCTTTAAAAGCTTAAGATTAGAATGTTCCTCTTAAATGAAGTTTTCATTCATACTGAATTGTCTTTACCATGAGGTACAAAGAACAGCTTGCTCACATTTATATTAACATCAACTTACAACATAAATGAATTAAAAGATCAATTGTAACAGTTTTTCAAGTAAGAGCTTTTTGAAAACAAGACAATGAAAATGAAACATTTTCTCCTATTAAATATTTACAAAAAGTTCAGAATGATGTAACATCTGGAAAAGATACATGGCTTGCAGTATCTACAGTTTGCTGATCAATATTAATTTTGAATTAAGTGACAGTTGAGGATTTCCAGTACATTCATTCATCTATTAGCTAGAACATACATTACACTCAATCAGATTATTTGTTTGAATTAAGTGCTAATATACTGTAATGAAAATAAACAAAAACAAAAAAAACAAATTAACAATGTGAGGCTGTCAACCCAAGTGCATTCCCTGACTACCTTTGATTATGGTGTATATGATTGCAAAAAAACAACATTCTGTATCTGACATTTACAGTGTGGCAAACCTTTACAAGCTTTACATATCACAATGACTATAAAGTTTTCCTCATCAAACAATACACTATAAATAATTCTGTAATTTTCTAGCTTATGAAAACAAATTACATTAAACATAAATTTAGATATTTAAAATACACCTACAGTTTCAGTTTGCCAAAATGTGTCCACAACAGTGCATTTCTTGTTGCCGACCACATTGTAATACCACAACCAAGCTTCTGGATTAATAGGTTCTCTACAGTTGCTATCACTTTTAGAGAATCTCTATTATATCTAAAATATCAATTAAAATGAATTATTTCTCAGCCTTGAAAATCTACCCTTAAAACTTTATAGCTGTAAACTTAAATTGTAAGAATTTAATAAAATTTCAAATTTTCAAAGGTGCTACAAAATTTTAACTGGCATTTCTTACGTCAAATTTAACAGGTATCCGTTTCAGTTTGAAGGGATATTTTTTTATCACCTTTTATATATCAAGGGATGCTATCAACATAAGATGTACTTTATCTCTAGTACCCTATTAAATAAAACTAAGATCTTGTGTCAGTTAAGACGTTCTTAAAACTTAAAATCTACATAGTCAAAAATGTTTAACATTTAAAAAAGATGAATAATGGCTGTATATAAATAGCAAGTTATATTGTATTTGTTAGACAATGCTATGTCTTCCTATCAAAATCAAGTTAGGGGCTATTTTTTTAAATTTAACAACAACTTGTCAATGTTTGTACAAATCAATTAACACAATTAAAGAATTGTTTGTGTTAAAGAATTGTAATTACTTGACAACATGTTCATCACCAAATCCCATCAATGATCTTATAGCTGTAGGTGCTGTGTAAAACTTGGACACCTTGTACTTCTCAACAATACGCCAAAATCTGCCCGGGTCAGGATATGTTGGTACGCCTTCAAACTGAAACATATTTAAACAACGCTGTCATTTCTATCACAATAGGACATTTGTTTCTCTGTTTTAGATCCGAATATATTTTCAAACACCATATTAAATTATCAGTCAGACCTTATTTGCAAAACAAACAATTTTTTCAATTTATTTCATACTTGTTTAATGTTTTAATTTAATTTTTACTGATTTCTGCCATGTAATATCTTAAGATCTTTTTCAAAACATTATCACATCATATTATCACTATGTTATGTTGAAAATTAACATGTTAAATTTCTCAATTATTTTTCATTTCTGAAGATAGTATTGCATACATTTACAGGCTATTTGTTTATCATTGTACATTTTACATATTATATGCAGTGTTTCTGCTAAAAAAATTTCAATTATTTTATGATGTACGCAATTCATATGGGTCCAAATATAATCTGACTACTTTCAGTCATATTTTGATATTTTCAAAAACTGTAAATTTTATCAAAAAATTTAAAACACCATTAATATTTCGAGAATCATTTCAATCAATGTATTAAAGTAGTATTTTATTAATTCATATTTTATTTATATTATTTACATTAGTCTTTTAACTATCAAAATACTGAAAAACATCCTTATTAAACCTAATGTTAATTTATCCAGCTTAAACAATTACATTTTTAACACATCCAGTTATATAAATATAACTTAGTTTCATTAAAAAAATTCAAAAGAATTTTGTTAAACAAGAAATATTAAAAAGTAACATCAACAAGAAAATAACCAATTTGGTCCTAAACTTGTGAGAACCAATAGTTATTAGCCTTTCAACGGCCAATCTGCACAACCATGCAAATTCAACCTGGTTCTATACATTTTTACCCTCAATAACAAAAGTTCAAAAAAATTTAATACATGC